CAGCCGCATCCGAGAGTGGGTTTTCGCAGTGACAGATCTGCTCACTGGGAGCACCAGTACCGATTCCGCTGCACGCAGCGAGCACCAAGGACTTACAGGGAGACATTGTCAGAGTGAGGGCTGAAGCAACACTCGCTGTGTACAGAAGTGCTGGTGGTATCCATTGTTCCCTTTTGAGCCCTCCCCCACTACCAGTGCACTGGACACAGCACCGCCATAGCCGTGACGTCATCAAACTGGATAACAGAGGTCTTTCCACCCAGAGGATTCCCTAAAACCTTGCTTCTCCCAACTCGCGGTCCCACCCACGCCACATCCAGGTGTATCCTCAGGGAGTCAGGTGCTCCTTGCTGAGCAGCGCCTAGACTCACACTAGAGGTAGCTGGCCTCGGTTTCTGGTGTGGCCTTATGAAGCAACTATAGGCACAGCATCTGTGGATTGCTTGCTGAATCTTAACAAATGCCTCAGAGGGGTAGAGGCTTGGGCTATATTTGGACTGCAGCTGAACCCCACTCAGAACTGTGCCACTGGACACCTACTTCACAAATCCACACTAATAAGACATGGAGACTGAGGAGCTTTGCTTAGCACACAGAAACAGACATGGAAAGGCAGCCAAAATGGGAAGACAAAGAAGCAGAAACCATATGAGAGAACAGAAGAGATCCAGATATAATGGAGTCAAGATATCTAACAGATGCAGAGTTCAAAACACAGGTAATAAAGATGCTCGATGAACTTTTGGGAAGTGTAGATAAATCCAGTGAGAACTTCAACAAAGAGATAAAAAACATAAAAATGGAAATGAAAATTATAAAAGGGAACCAGTCTGAAATGAAGAACACATAATCTGAGATGAGAAGTATATTAAATGGAATAAACAAAGTGAATAAAGAAAAGGAAAATATTCGTGTCAGAGGGGTACCTGAAAGAAAACAAGAAGTTGAAGAGCTATTTGAGGAAATAATGATGGGAAACTTCCCTAACCTGGTGAAGGAAATGGACATAAAACCCCAGGAAGCTCAGAGAATTCGAATAATCAGGGATCCAAAGAGGTCCACACCAAGACACTTCATAATTAAAATGCCAAAGGTTAAATACAAAGAGAGAATCTTAAAAGCAGCAAGAGAAAAGCAGATAGTTACCTACAAGGGAGCACCCAAAAGACTGGCAGCTGATTTTTTGAAACAAATTATGCAGGACAGAAGAGCTTGGCACAAAGTATTCGATGTGATGAAGATCCAAGATATACAACCAAGAATAATTTATCCAGCAAAGCTGTCATTTAGAGTTGAAAGACAGAGCTTCCCAGACAAAAAATAAGCTAAAGCAATTTATTACCACCTAGCCAGTATTATAGGAACTGTTGGAGTGACTTCTTTAAGAAGAAAAAACATGTATCAAAAACAGGAATAAAGAATAGTAATGACATTCCTATTAATAAGTACCTTAAATGGAAAAGAATTAAGTGCTCCAACCAAAAGATAGAGTGGTTGAAAGGATAAGAAAACAAGATCCCTACATATGAAAAGGCAGGGGATGGAAAAAGATAATGCTTTGATGGACCTATAAGGTATTTAAGTCAGAGTAAGATAAATACTATATTATTCCACTTATATGCAGAATCTAAGGAATAAAAAGACCCAACTAATCAAAACAGACTCACAAATACAGTAGACAATTTGGTGTCAGACAGAGGGAAGGGGGCTTTAGGGAGCTGAGAGAATGGGGTAAAGGGCTAAAGAAGTACAAATTAGTAACTGTGCATGGTCATGGGGAAGGGGAGCAAGGCGTAGGGATTGCAGTTAGCATTAATATGTTGGCTAGGTGGAGGGTCAGGGGACGGAGGGTGCAATTGGGGGGATCGTTTTATGAACTAAATAGGTGTCTAACCAATGTACTGTACACTTGAAACTAAATTAAAAAATAATTTTAAAAAATTTTGCACACAGATTAAGTGAAAAAATAAGATAAAAACTCTTAAAACGAATGTAAAAATTATTCTGAAACTGTTAAAACATTATACAATCACAGATTTTAACTAATCATGACTACTATAGTCCACTTTCTTTGACCATAGCATATGTTTTAACTACCAGACTGTATCTATTTTTCAGCAGTGCTATAGTTAAGTCTTCCAAGGGTTAAAATTAACTTGAAAGAAATGATAACTATATTGAGACTATCAAATTATGATGCCCAGGTTAAATTACATCCTAAAAATATGGAAAATCTTAGAAAAGGAATCAAGTTTGTGAAGTTTTACATTTTATGATTATATTATATAAAACCAAATATAAAAATTTAGACTCACATATATTCTTTTGTCTCTCTTGATTTAAATTTTAAATGATTTTACTCCTAGTAAGTTTTTTATAAGAAGATTCATGAAGTAATAAGATTTAGCTAACTGAGAAAATATATTTGTAGAGCTGACCCTTGAACAAAGCTGGGTCAGGTCCACTTATACGCAGAATTTTTTCAATAAATATATTGTAACAGTTTTTTGGAGATTTCGTTACTACCATGAAGCAATTACACTGATCATACCTGGCTACCATAAAGCAATCATATTGCTGCTTCCTTATTAATGAATTGTTACACCTGTAAATAAATACGAATTTCTTTTTCACATTACCTTTTCATTTTTGATGTCTAGTGTTAGTAATACGAATAACATCTACAGTGTTCTGTATCTTATAAGACAATATGGATGCAGGTACTAACAGACAATTCATCTTGCAAACAGAAGACAAATGTACTACTGGCATGGAGAAATACAGGAAAGTACAGCAAAGGTATTTTCTCTTCCTTAGGATTTTCATAACATTTTCTTTAACTTTCTTTACTGTACGAATACAGTATATCATACAAATAACAAAGAAAATATGTGTTAACTGATTCTTTATGTTATCCATAAGACTTCCAGTCAACAATAGGCTATTAATAAAGTCTTGAGAAAATCAAAAGTTATATGTGAACTTTTGACTGCACAGGGATTGATGCCCATACCTCCACATTGTTCAAGGGTCAAGTATACTTCACATAGTAATTTAGATCCTGGGGAAAAAACTATTTTCCTAGTCAAGCATGCTTGCCTAATTTGAATAGCTTCAAGGCTCTACAGCAAAGAGTTCTGGGCAGATGGTCAGAGAATCATAAAATAAGTGAAACAGAAACCTCTAGGTCAATTTTAAGTGCTAAATAATTGCTTTCATTTTGTATAGCTTATGAACTTACTATAGGAAAAATGTGATAATAAAAAATATGTTCATGGGTTAGTCAATTTCTATTTTTGGACCCAAGGCCATATGCTGCTAATTATTCAAGAGTAAATATTAGAAATACTCTGTGTTTACACATGTGTTAAACAAAAGCTCTTTCTATCAAGTTATGCAAAACTATAAATTAGAAACTTTGGTTTAAAAACATTCGTTAGCTGTAATATTCAAAAAAGGAGTATACAAAAAAAGCAATAAAAGCAGGTACAATGCTAAATAAAATGTCTTACAATTAATAAGCCATGTTACAACTGATATACATTTCAATAAAACAGACTGAGCAATGTGAAAACTAGTTCATGTTCTTTGCATATTCTTTTGTATATGTATTTTATCTTTCTCAACAAAGCTAATTAAAGGTAAGAAATAGGCCAAAGAATTCCAGAATCAACATTATTTTAATTTGGCATGTTATGACATCTAGATAAATGACTGAATCCAGTCTTTGTTGTAAATACTATGATTTAAAAAGTTAATAATGGCCTTCTATTTTATAAAGAACGTTAACACATATATAGAAGAATGATGCAATAGGAAATAGAATGGTAATACTAGTAATAATGAAATTCTAGGTCTTTGCTATGCCACAAAGGAGAAATGTAAACTTTAGCAAATACTTTCTTTACCTGTGTCTCAGACTCCTTACCTTACCTATATGTTATGAAAGTGAAAGGGTTGATTTTAGGTTCTATTCTAGATATTATGATTTGGTTCATATGAGCAAAGATATTTTACCTAAATATGAATGTTAATGATAGTTAGAAAGGAGAATTACAAAGCATTAGACACTGAAAATTCAAATATGAAAATTTAAGTTCTGTATGAACAAATACACTTAAAAAAAATAACCAAGTATTCTGAAATTTTAGGACAGGCAAACAAGGAATAAAGAACAGTTAAGTGTGTTAACAAAAGCATAATCTCAATGGGAAACCACAGGGCTAATTGATGCTCAGTTTTGGGCTCAAAAATATTATAAATTAAAGATCTCTCTATTTTAGAATGTTGATAATTAGTAACATTCTACATGAACATTAGAAACATGATATAATATATAATTAACACAATTATTAATTGATTCTGAAAATAAGCTCACTATACTCCGGAAAGTTAAAATCAAATTATTTTTATAAAGCAGTAATTCCATAATTTATGAAAGTGTTCAAAGGCAGCATCCTAAACTGAAAGTATACAACTATAAAATGGCTAAAGGTTGCAGGGAAGCCATATAACATTTCTACTTTTGTTCTCTGTAAGATTCATTTGGCAATAAAAGTGTTATATAACTCTATCTTCAATTTTTTTTTTAAATTAAGTACAAAATTGAAGAGGAAAGAGAGGAGGCCCCAGAGCTTAGGACTGTCTAAAGAACAAACTCCTTACATAATATAATACTATATTCAGAGAAGGAAATCTCATTGCTTAAACAACCTGTGAGTAAATAACTTTGATCTTGGACCTCTAATTCACCCACCAAAGAGTCAATGATTTCAATAGGACTGATATGAGGTTCTTACATAGATAATATTAAAAACTGGGTAACTGTCCATTTTGCTAAGACCATAATATAAATTTTGTCAATCCTAAACTGATTGTAATAAGTCAAACCAATTTGATTATGTAAAGTGAAACCTTACTCCTGAAAATTATGAAGCACAAAATATTAATTAAGATCTTCAAATAGGCCATCAAATTTGTTTTTTAAAAAAATATCTTACTGTAATGAAGTCATCCCCTTTAACCATTCTTCCTTGGTAAAAAATCCCATGCTTTCAGCCTCCAATTTCCACGCTAAAACTAACATAATAATCTGGAAAGAACAGAACATAAAGGATAGGGGAAAAGTCAGCATAGAGATAATCATGTCTATATTTATCATGGAGAGCATTTTTATAAAACTATTTCCATCTTTCAATTATTAAAGAGTACAAGCTTTGGAATTATTAACTATAAAGAAATTTAGGTGGACCAATTTCTTAAAAGTAAAAAGTTCTAACAGTTTCTAAAGGTAGAATCTCTCTCACTCTATTACAAACAATATTTGTATCAAGAAAGAGAACATGTGCCCAATTTTAATTGATTAAAAATACCATAAATAAAAATCTATAATAATAAACATGAAGAAACAAAATCTACATATAAGATTAAAGTGTCCTGATTTTTAGAAATTCAAAAATAGGTTCTATCCCACCTGTATTCCATTCTACTTAGAAATAAAACATACATTTTCAGGTTCAACACCAATGTCTTCACAAAATTTTTCCATTCCTTCTGGCCCTACAACTTCATCAGGACCTTTAAAAACAAAAATAATTTATATATTTCGTTGTTATAATTTAATATCAACATAAAACATAAGCCATTGTGCTAAAGGCATCTATAAATATAAATAAACCATAACATTTTTGTAAATAATTAAATTTGAATTTTGACATATCTTTGAAGTATAACTTTTTGCTACAGAATTTAAAATTTTAGAGATGATCTTTAAACACATTACCAAATGAAATTAAGAAAAAAATGAAGCAATATTAATATCAATCACTAGTTTGTACAATAACTTGAACCTATCCATTAAAAAAATTTTACTGACAACCTTCTCTAAAGAAAATTTTTGGCAATGCATGAATATAAAGAAGCATATGGTTTGACTTTCTTACTCTACTAGAATGTGCCAGTATCAACCTACAATAATTTAAGACAAGAATCAGAGAATATCTGTTTAGTTACTAAAACAGGTCATTTATTACCCTTTTAAAATATATTCGAAACTTAATACTTTAAAAAAATATACATACTATGAAAATAAAAACTTAAGGAAATTACTGCATTCCAATTCCAGAATGAGATATTTTCCTTATCATCTTGGTTCTCGAATAGATAGCAAAGCATTAGTTTTGCCACCTTAATGTAGAAACAAAAGTTTAATCCTTCAATTAGCTTATCTATCATTTGTCTAAAAATTAACAATACTTGTTTTTTATTTTTCTCCCTTAGTAATACGAGTCAGTACACCAATTCTCATATTTTTTGTCATCAGATTCCTAAAATATATTAATTACATTTTTGTTAGGCCTTTTTGTGATTGGATAAGATTAAAGCAAATTTGTGACAACATGAAATTTGTGACCTTGAGAACATTATGCTACATGAAATGACAGAAAAAGACAAATACTGTATAATCTATTCACTTATATTTGGAATATAAATCAAAAGAAAAACTCATAAATACAGGGAACAGATTAGTAGTTGCTAGAGGTGGAGGTGAAGGGTGCGCAAAATGGGTGAAGGTGGTCAAAGCTATAAACTTCCAGTTATAAAATAAGTACTGGGATATAATGTAAAGCATAGTGACAATAGTTAATAATACTGTACTGTATATTTGAAAGTCACTAAAAGTGTAGATCTTATAAGTTATCACAAAAAAATTTTTTTGTAGCTGTGTGGTGACAGATGTTAACTGTATTTATTTTGGTGATAATTTTGCAATATACACATAAAGCAAACTATTATGTTGTATACCTGAAATGAATATATTATATCTCATTTTTTAAAAAGACTAAAACAATATGAAATATGATAGAAATAAGTTTACCACACTTGGCTTCTGAAATATTATTGTTAAAGTAAGAGAAACTTATTTTCCTTTCATAAAGATTAAAAATACCTAGCTTTATAAATCACAGACGAAACCAAGGTTGCTAAGGTGGCATTTTATATCACTATCATTAGTCCACAAGCGCAACATGAAGCCAATATCCTTAGGTTTTTTCTTAATAGAAGAATGTAGCCATCCAGTATGTAGCCAATATATTCTTGCTGTTTCAGATGAGATCCAGGTTGCTAAAATGACGTGGTCTGAACCAAAACCCTTTTAAATTTTCTTGGTTTAAATAAGTACTGCACTTATTTGTGCAGTGAGGTGTTAAAAGGTGAAGGGGTGACTATTATAGGAAACTTTCACTTCCTAATATATACTTGGAGGATTTTTTTAATGAGAATGTGTTAATTATGTAATTTAAAAAGCAAACATATACTATAAAGCTGTTAAAAAATACAAGTAAATATGCATCCTTATATGTGGGTTTGGATGAAAGTAAACATCAGATAAAAAATTTAACAAAACAAAGGTTTTTTTTAAAGGTATGATAGGAAATATAATCTAAATTTCTCTATGCAACGAGAAAGCTGACCTGCTCTCGAAGCTTCCATCATTCGTAATTAGAAGAGAAAGCTGAAGAGTTATGTTGAGAAATATCAATTATTGTTATAAAATACAGCCTCTTTAGAAACTGTGGGATTAGTGATTAAAATTAAATTATTTTAAATAAAGATATGTAAGACCTCTCTGTAAACAGTAGGTGACTTTCCTAAAGCAATGCAAATAAATACAAACATATTTAAATCTAAAATAAGGTCTATACCAATGTTTTCTTCCCAGATTGCATATTAATTATTTCTCTTGAAATATATTCTTCCAATAAAACTACTCTCAAGGTAAAAACCTCTGGAGCTGAATTCGACTTACTCTTTCAGACAAAATACAGGTTTCCAATCAATTTAAGAAGCTACAAAAATTATTTAGTTTACCAGATGGATCCTTATTAAGACTATATAATTCTATCCCTTATTCTTGATTCCTTATAAAACTTTAAAAGTGCCTTTTCACTTTCTATGCTTTTGTTTAATAATAATAGGCCCATAATAATGAATGAATAATAATGAATCCTTGCTAATTTAAATATCAGTCATGATAAGAGATCTTGTGAAAGGGCAAAACCATCAGGCTAATCACACATGACCTATAATATTATATTAACAAGATTAGTGTTAATTTATAACCAAAAAAATTTTTTTATTTTTAAATAACCATAAAGAAGTGTTCCTAGCTATACCTGCAGAGCCTAAAACCATGATGCTAAGGAAGAAAAACTGTGCTTAATGAATGATATAGCACCTTTAATATGAGCTATCTAAAGGCTATATTGTTAATTTTGGAACAGTATTGCAACCATATAAAACCAGTAAATCTGATGCTGCAATACTATTTATTCCTCTTTTAATAAAAGCTAACATTTATTGAGTTCTGATTAAATACCAGGTACTGTGCTAAGTGCTTCATATATTATTTCAATAAGCAGACTTATTGTTTCCATTTTAATAAGGGACATCCCCATTTTAAGATGGAACAGTTACTGTTTATTTGGCAAATAACTGGTTCCTCCTTAATCAATTTGGTCTCTGCCCACAGAAACCTCTAGAGAGGCCTTTCCTAATCACTGTATTTTAAAGTTCACCCGAACTTTCTTTTATCTCTGCACTTCGCCATATTTATTACCTTTATAACCCTCCACAATCTATAATTATCTTTCTACTTACTTATTTAACATATTTCTTCCCACTAGAAGACAAATCCCCAAGGGCAGGGATCTATCTTAACTTGTTCACTACTATATCCCTAACACTTAGCACAGTGCCTGACATACAACAAATGCTCATTCAATGAATGACAGAAGTTAACCTCCAGTGTCCTAATATTTTCTTTTCAAAAGGAAAATTAGTTGCCACATACACATTTAAAAAAAAACAAAAAAAAACAAAAAAAAACCTTACAAGATAGTAGTTAAAGCACTGGTTCTGCAATCAGAATGACCTAGATTTGAATCCTGGCTTTTGTCATTGTATGATCTTAATTAAGCAAGTTACTTATTAATCTAATCATGAGTTTTTTCATCTATAAAATAAGGATAATATTGTTTATTTAACAGAATGGTCACAGGAAAATTATATAATTAGCATAATTATTGAAGTAAAGATAGCAATTATTATGCTGGCTATTACAAAAACTCCAGTTTAGGAAATGAATGTTTAATTAGAATCTCACGCTACCCAGGAAAACCCTAGAAGAGGTAAAACAAGTAAGCATAAAAAAAAAAAGAAAAGACTAATTAATCTAATGGCATCTAATAACCTTTATAAGTAAAATAAGATGAGTGACCTTTTATTCTATATCATGCATATCAGTAAAACTGGCATTTTGAATAATGGGTCAACATTTTAAATGGAGGTCATTAAAAAAAATGAATTCTCTTCATTTAATTTGGGTTAGTGGTTGTCTTGGGATGCCAGTAATAGCAATTTTTCTGGTCTAGGAAGAATCTGTTCTGTTACTAAACAATTTTTAAATTATACTTTTGGGATCACTCAGCTGATCCCAACAGAGAGGATACTGTATCCCCCACCTCAAAAGTCTTACTTTCCATACAGTTAGCCTAAATTTATATCTCAAGTTCAGAGTACACTTGAGGCCTTAACTTGATTATTACTACATATAAGACAATGACTGCATATACAGTTTTATTTTAAACAAACACTCTAAAATGATAGTGATAAAAGAGGGGAAGGGGAACCATCAGGGAGGCAGGTAAGAGAAAGGAAACAAGGAGAAAAAAGACAAACAAAAAAGCTTTAAAATCAATCATTACAGAAGACCAAAACCATTCTAATGGGAAAGAAAATGTCATATATGCTTATAAAGAAGTTAGTAATAAGTGGGAAACAAGTGCTTTTTTCCATATATTTGCTCAGCCTGTCCCTGGCTTTGACTTCACCTCACCCCACGCCAAGAGTTTTTACATCCACCACTTAGAGGATTTACCGTAAAGTTAGCTCCTTCAAGAAGCCGTCCCTGACGCTTTCAAGGCTGGGTTACATATTCCTCCTACGAAATTTCACAGTGCATCTTCCTAATAGAGCATTTATCAGTCTGTTTAATTTAATTAATATCAGTCTGTTTAATTTCTTATTTATTATTGTCTCTCATAGAAGTTAATGACTAAATAGCAATTATTAAAGGTTAAATGTGTTGTGCAATTATATATCTGAGTTTAAAATTTTTCACTACGTCTCCCAAAAGTTTCAGAAAATGTCAGTTACTGGTTCAGAAAAATTTCAAAAAAAAAATATTGAAAAGAAAAATAAGAACTATATATAATACAAAATGCTTTATCACATACTGTCAACTCTACTTTAGCCAATGGACGTAAACCAGTAAGTGAATCTGCTTACAAACTGTATTAATAGTAAATGACGTTCACCCTTCCAACTAAATATAAACTGAATTATATATATATATTTTTGTAATTATTTTTTATGGTGACATTGGTTAATGAAATCCAGTAAGTTTCAGTTGTACGTTTTAACAGTAAGGCCTGTATATATTTGCACTGTGTGCTCACCTCCCATAGTTAGATTTCTTTATATCATCACACATTTGACCCCTTTAACCCCACTTACCTCCCCACTCCCTCTACCCTCTGGTAACCTCTAGTCTATAGTCCATGTTTGTTTGTCCTGTTCATCTGTTGCTTTTAGGTTTATATCCTACATGTAAGTGATATCATGTGGTTTTCAACTTTTTCTGTCTGGCTTATGTTGCTTTAGCACGATTATCTCGAGGTCCATCCATGTTGGCGCAAGTGGCAGTATTTCATCTCTTCTTATGGCTGAGTATTACATATTTAAAGACAGCTTGAAACAGTACCAAATTCTTAGCCTACCCAGAATCCCCAGTCTTGACCCTGATCCCAGCCCACAGCACTAACACACAGCAGCCATGAAATAATTTGATAAATGAATGAACCAAAACAAAAAGAAAGTAAAAAATGTTTTAAAGCATGTGACTGATATATTAATTTCATTACCTGCATACTCATAAAACCAAGCCAGGCACTTCTTGCTTGAAAAATGTTCCTCTCCACTTATTAGTCTAGCAGAGGGCTGGGATCTGCAATAGCTTAGAAAACACACAAATGCCTAAGAATTTAATCATCTTAACTTTTAATGAAAAGCTAAGTTCAATAGGAAGTACTCCAATCCAAACTAAAACTATTTTTTTATAGCTGCCATTATAGAAAAAAAAATTGGGAGTTAAGTATTTGCAATTTGATATAATAGTCTATACATTAACATTGCTGGCTAACAAAACCCGAATGCTACATTGCTCACTATCAAATTCCAAATATATTAACTAAAATTATTTCCTCAGATTTCAAAAGACCACACAGAAGTTCAACCCAATGGTCTCAATGCAGGACTAGTAGCTGGGAAAGTACAAACCTTTATAGTGATTCTTCTCAATTGCATGAAAATTATGTCTGTGTATATAGGCATACATTCGAAAACAAAATCTTACAAAGTATATTTTGGTACTTATTAATATTTCAAAATAAAATTATATATTAGGAGTTATCATCTACCAAACTTATTTAAAAAATAAAAGATGTTTTAGAACATAAGGGTCCTAAATTCTGCAGATTAACGAACAACAAAAAACCCTAAAAGATAATAGTATAAATAATTGGTCCAAAGATATTTAATCCAAGTCTATCTTTTTCATAAAATTGTGTAAAGTTGAGAAGTTCATAAATAGCCTTTACAATTTAATGAACTTCAGAGAATCTTTTCTAAAGGAGCTCAAACAGGTACACTACTACAGTGGCATGGAAATGCTATAACTTCTACAACTGAATAGTGTAAAATAAGGGTGCTATATTTAAAAGTTTAAGTTGATAGAGTTAAGTATCACCTGAGTTCCAATTACTGCTCAGCTGTTTTAATGGGCTTAACTTAAATAATTTTGATACATTATACACTTAAGGTGGCTACAAGTTAGAGTTATAAAAAACTAACCTGTATGTTTCATAAAAATTTGAGCTAGTGGAGTAACCATGTTAAATTCCAGTGTGAATTACCAAGAGATGTAAGTAAACAGCATCACCTTTCACAGTAATAGGCCAAGAAATATACTTAGGCTCTTTTTTCACAAATAGTGTAATGAAGGGGAAAAATTAAACCAATAACAAAAAGGAAGATGCAGACTAAGTCACCTACCTCAGGTTTTAAGTTGATCTCTCTTTAAAGAGAGTTCTAGCATTATCTCCCATTTATAATGCTGACTACAGTCTTCTTTAATGGTAGCATCTAAAGTTGTCATACCATGTGCCAACCACTGATACCCAATAAGGAGATTTTACACACCCCACATTGCAGAACTACATTGCAGTAATTTTTTGTAGCATATAACATCGCTGTGACATGCTACAATGGAATCAAAGCTCTAAAACTACGGCTCTGCTTTGTTTTCTTTTTCTCCAAGAGGATACAGAGGACAATAGGTTTCAAATTATTAACATTTATATTAAGAGCTAACAGCAGCATGAATGTTAGAAAACAAAATGCCTGCAGGGCCTTTCCACCTCGGCACATAGGGACTTGGCAATGTGGAGGCACTATACGTCCACGAAATAAGGCTCCTGCGATTTAAAAGGCCTCCTGCTGGAATTCTCCAAGTTAGACCACTCCAAATACTAAAGGAGGCCAATTACAGCACGGGGAGCTTTCCTTTCCATCGTTCCCCTGGCAGCTGCCAGGTCAAGATTTCTCATGCTCTGCTTCTTCCTTAACACTCTGCAAAGAAATTCTAGAAGTGACCCTTCCGCGAATCTGTACTCAGTTCTAGATTTGGAAAGAAGAGGGGGAGGGGTTAAAGGAGTTGGGGGTAGGGGAAAGAGCGCAACTTACGTACGCATTCTTGTTTCCCCACCCTTCAGGGCACGAAGACTCTTCTAGTACCTCCACATGCGCCAGAGCACACGCAACGAACACGCGGTGCAGTCGCAGAGACTCGCGGTGTTCTGCGCCTACCACCTTAGGTTTATCAGAGGTGGCGGTGGGAGGCAGCGGTTATCTATCCCCAGCCCGAGCCTCGGAGACCGAGCCCGCTTCCTTCTCTTGCCATTCAGCAAGGGAGGAAGGACTGAAGGGTGGGGGAAGGTGGTACCTGGAGATTTTACACTTTTTGAGGCCTCCGTCTTCCGCTACTGCCGCTGCCACCCCAGAGGATTTTCTCTTCTTCTTCACCGGCATCTTCCGCCCTCCCCGGTAGGGCGGGCAGGGAAGCCGGGGAAGGGGGTCGTTGTCCACTGAAGATTCCTCAGTGCTGGCACCCGGTTCCCAGAAACAGCAGCAAGCGTAGGAGCAGAGTCGCCAGCCCGCACCAGAGCGGCCCAGCCTGGCCACCGGCCGCTCTCAGGTCTCCTCCTCGTCTTCCTCTGCTCGGGACAGGGGGTCACTCCTCGCCGGTGGACACTGCAGCTTGGTCACACCGGGAAGAGAGAACGCGGACAGCTCAGCACCTCCACCAGTCACAGACTCCAATTGCAAGAGGTTCAGTCTGACCCGGATGCGAATCGCCAAGGGCCGGAAGTGACGCAAACGCAGAGCCGGTCTCCGGGAGGGGTGTGGGTCTAGTTGCGACTGGCTAGCGGTCTCCCTGGCTGAGCGAAGCAGTGTAGTTACCGCGAGTGAAGAAATCAGGTTTTGATGGTTGCCAGGGTGTCTCAACCTTTCTCGGGAAACTTCAACCGCTCCCTAATTCTGGTACGTCACCTCCAAGATATGTTTTATAAAACCCCTAATACTCTGCAGTTGGCCTTAGAAATAATCACATATAGTAATCCAAGAGTTCTTCCGTTCGGTAACCTCACGTTGTTACCCACCTCTTAAATTCTTGTTTTCTTTATGGGCCCACTCTCCCACCCTGTCTCTGTCCTCCCTGACCTCTACTTATCACTTTTTCTCTTATTAAAAGTTAGTTTTACCATCTCTTTCACAGAGCTCACCTCTCAGAAAAGCGACAGTAGGTGATTGCTGACTTCGTATAGAGGAATTAGGGGAACATTTCTAAGGGGCCTTCCCCCAGACCTTATTACCCAAAACACTTATAATCACTCCACATCAGTGAAAATATTGTTTATGAATAAAGGTTGTTGCACGTAAGGATTGTGTAGTAGAAGGTCGCGTTAGTCAGTATATGCGGAAAATAAATTCAACATCTGTAAACCAAAGAGTGATGGTAGAGGACGAAAAATCTCTTTAAATTCAGTAACAGTCGATGTGGTTCTGATGGGACGACTTTTACCTTGGCACCCTCACCTGGCCAATTAGAATATCATATTTCCTTAGTGCCATTAATTGGTTCAGGATATACGATTAAAAGCCAGGCCAGTCAGTGCCAATGACATGAAATTGAACTATCAGGGAAGCAACTTTATTTCCTATGGACTTGAACCTGAGAGGATGTAGAGAAGGAATTCAAAACTCAGCAGAGACCAGAATCAAGCAGAAAGAAAAACCAAGACATGATTTTATGATATGAGCTCAGAATTCATGATGTGCCCTGGAGATTTCAGTTACATGAGCTATTAAATCTCACTATTTTGCTTATGCAGTTCTCTGTTATGACCAAAAGAATGTTGTGCTTGAATGCTGGAATCCTTCAACCCACTTATAAATGCATGAGGCCAAAACATAAAATGTGAATAAGATAAAGCCTCTAAAAAAATACCATCTGTAGGTAAGAGGATAGAGGAACATGTTAACACTCAATGCACTCAGCAAGATCTTGACTGTAAGAAAATCTACAGGAAAAATGGCCCAGGTTTTGCAGCAAATTATTAGAAGGAAATTTTAAAGGCTATATCAATTATTTTCCATATGTGATTCTTATTTGAATCAAGTCGAACAATACAAAGCAATATTATGACATTTATGGGACAATTGGACATTTTAACACTAGCTGAATATTTGATGAAGTTCTAGAACAAGCAAAGTTTATGTATAAGGTCGCATATTAGTGATGCTTGAGTACCGGGATGGGGTGGAAATGGAGGGAGAAGACTGTAAAGAGGCACAAGGGCACTTTTTAGATAATAGACATTCCGTATCTTGATTGAGGTGATGGTGTATATCCTTGTCAAAGCTCATTGAGCTGTACAATTAAAAACGTATGCCCTCAATAATTAAAAAATACTGTATACCTGAAACTAATATAAATAATAAAAATGTATGCCCTTTATTGTATGAATATTATTCCTCTGTAAATTTGATATAAGATAAAAACACCAAAATATGAAAAGATGCTATTAGAAAGAACCAAGCTTTTTCCTTCAAGAAGTGAACTACAAAAGCTAAACATCCCTTTTCTCAAATAGAGGAAGGAAAGTGGTATAAAAATCTAAATAATGAAGACAAAGACCGCAGAGGACGATGTTCAAGGCTGAATCAAGATGTAAGGAACGTTCACGATACCTGCATAGCAGGATACCAGCATTGCTATGGTTTAATGACTATTATGCATCTTCTATTATTTTCTGGGAATATTTATTGTGGTTATTGTGGCCTTTTTCCCTTGTTGTTTATTGTACAATAGTGGAAAGCAGATAATTGTGTCTTTGTTCATAGGCCACTGGACCATAGAGAACCATTTTCTAGACCTAAGGAAGAAGACTCCACCATACCTGGAGACTGTGGAGATTCTGCTGAATGTGGTGACTAGATAGGAGCCTACTTGTACCTATAGAATTCTCTGATAAAAGATAAAAGGGTGGGTCTGTGTACGATATTCATTAAGTCTATCATTCAAACAGTATTTAATAATCACTTAAACCAGGAACTGTCCTGGGTTTAGGAATATAAAAGGCAGGTGTGACTTTTGCATTCATGAAGTTTACAGTCTGGAGGGGGAAATAATATGATGCAGTCTATTTGTATTTAAGAGTACTTTATGAACAAAGAATAGTTTATTCTTTAATAGTTTAATAGTTTACACTATTATTCAAGCAATAGAACAATTATGTTTGTTTTTTAGATTATTTTACAATTATAGTTGGCATATTATATTAGTTTCAGATATACAACATGGTGATTTATAATCTGCTTGTTAATAAAGAGATGGTGATTTCCAGGGTCATGTAGATCATTTTCTTCATTGCCTTCTCTGATCATTCCATTCTCAAAATGGAGCATCCCATTATCCTAATTACTTTCACAGGAGAGGCATATTGATATCATTGCCTGTGAACAGTATAGAAATGCCTAGTTATGTGGTTTTAATCTTATCTGCTGCTTACTCACACATCGATAGTACATTATTTTTCCATCAAGAAGGCATTTATAATGGAAAAACAAACTATGACAGACTACTGTGGTTCTTCGTCATATAGGAGAATTTTTTAATGAAAGTAATAAGGGAAGGTAGGGATGAAGCATTTACTTTAAGCAGAAACTTAGGTGTTCTGGTTTAAGATCCAAGGAAGAGAGTCAATGACTTTAGGTAAGACATATAACTTTCTTTATCCTTCATCTTATCCTACTGTTACAGAGAAGGATGTAGAAAAATCTAATACCCATTTATAACGTTTCCTGGACATATACTTATGCAAAATAAGACTGAGCCATAGTTCTGTCATCTATTTGATGTGGGTGATACATGCATCCCTTAACTTTGGGGGTTATAGATGATGCTATGAGAAACATCTTTTAAAATAGTTGTGTCTGTATCAAAGGAACCAAAAATGGTGCCCTAAAATGTGTTAATTTATATATATTCTATATGTAGTTCATATTTTCTTGACACCTCTTTAAAATAGTGCATTTCCACTTGCCAGAAAAACAAGCAATGCAGAAATGAAGTGATTTATGGGATGCCACATGTTATTGGGGTATTGAATCTATACAAATATTCTCCATATATTAATATTGATTTTCAAAACAAATAGTGCCCTACACATAAACCCTGAGAAAGAAGACTAAGAGAACAGTAGAAATGGGATGTTAAAATGAGACTTTGTTTTGGAGCACCAGTAAAGCCCACAAACTCCTAGTGTTTTAGAGAAGGCCAACAGTGCAGAACTATGTAACACATGCCATGTACCCCTTATATCCTAAAGCAGTGTGCCGGAGCACATCAATTGTAGCCCTGACTGTGGCTATAATTCACTCTGGGACCCAGATTTAGGGAGTAGCCACTCTCTGTAACACTGTTGTCATGACAAAGGGAAAGGAAAACATAGTGAACCCCATGCTGGCTGTTAAAAGTTCTGCCTTGAAGTGACACATATTACTTCTGTTTAAGTCATATACCTGAGTTCAGGACAGGAATGTATAATCTTGCAGAGAGGGGAACTAAGTAAAGGTAAATACAGTTCACAACAATATGGGATTGAAATGAAATCTCATTCAAGATCCAGGGAAGAATGAATTCACAGAGTTGTTTTCAGATTGCTTTCTGCTTGTACCTCATGCTGACAGATTGCATTTTCCAAAAATGTCACATGATATCTCTCAACCTACATGTTTTTCTAGAACCTTGCAACTTCCTATCAAGTAATGGAGTCTAATTAAACATCATCGTCAATATTAGTTCATTAATTGTGGGAAATCTATCATAGTAATGTAAGGTGTTAATAATAGGGTGAACTATTATGGGAACTTTCTGTACTATCGTTGCAACTTTTCTGTAAATCTTAAAACTTCTAAAATAAAAATAACGTTTATTTTTAAAAAGTCAAAGTGAACAGAAATAAAAATTAAAAAGTAGTAGAGTGCAGGAAAAAAAAGTTACAACTCAAGAGAGCCAGCTTGGTTGGGTACCTTTGGAAAGGTAAGAATTCATAAAATTGGGAATGTGCCATCATAGGTAGAAAGCATTGTCTTGTATACCAAGTGGTCAAAAACAGCACTTTCAACTTGAAATCGAACCAGGAGGATGAAGAATTAGTGCTCAGGAGGGACACCTGATTTGACATCCAGTATGTGAATATGTACCCTAGACGAAGAAAAGTAGTTAACAAAATCAAATTACTACTGATAGAAAGGCCATTGTTTGGATCACTTGCTGCAGAGAAGAACTTTTTGGGTGAGTAGTAGAGAAAACCAAAAGTGAGTGCAGGCAGCTTGTGTTTAGGTATGTTTTTATAATCATTTTTATATTCTTAGGACGGGTGGTGTTTTTGTCACACTTCTCAAACTTAATGTTGGAAAGATGACATAGTGGAAATGGTTTCTGAAAGTGAGAACCACCATTAGACTGATGGATTTGCCTTTTTAAATTTTGCAATCTTGGATAAACATTTAATTATGTTGTGACTCAGTTTTACCATTTGTATAATAACACATGCCTTACCTAGACATGACAGCATTGTATTGTTGAAAAAATAAATGTGAATGTGTTATCAAAACTGCTAAGTGATATGGAATTATGAATTAGCTGGAATCCTTGGGGGTACAACCAACAGAAATTAAGTTCTAATCTAGAGGGGAGATTTATTTAAGGTAGTACACAAAATCAAAGGAAAGATTTCAAAGAAGGAGACATGTAAAAGAGGTGAGTTGCCCTGTTTTCCACTCCACCCAAATTCTGGTAATGGGACTTTCCCTTCCATATCACTATCACCTTTTTGAATGGCAATGACCATCTTTATTTTCAGGGATCTTAACCAAGGTCTCGGCCATTGACTATAGGATTGTCTACATGGGGCAGTGTGAATGGGACTCAGCAAATTCTTAGGCCATGATTAGACATTATGTCTTTGGAAAATTCATTGGTGATGTGGGCAGTTACTGAAGTCCCTCACTATTCAGCACAAAGCAGATTAGTTCACATGACTGCAGCAGGGGTAATGATTTCTAGAAAGGCAGTAAATGATCTGCTAATAGTCTTGTTTATTTGACACCCACACTGCTCTGGTCACTGGCATTGACAATGTTGGTGTTTCTTGATGCTGACTCTGCTCCTTTCCATGTGTTCTGTGCAGAAATCTCTGCCAAGTTTGAGCTCTATCCAACTCTTGAACCCCTCTCTTAGCCAAGATGACCTTTAATTGTTATGGCATAAACTATGCTCGGCTTCTTTCAGGGCTTATACTTTTAATTTGCAAGAGCCTTCTTGTCTCTAAAGTATGGGTCATGAGAATCAAAAGTTTTGACTTTCAATTGCATTTTTTTAAATACCAGATTTCAAAGCATATTTTTAAAGTAAAAAAAAAAACTAAACCATTTTGCATTTCTGATTTTACAGCCATAATTCTTTTTGAGGCAGTGAAAATGACACTGACTTATAAAGGTCATGAGCAAGAATGTGCAGAAAAGAAAAGCACACAATATTTTCAAGACATTTTCTCTCCATGGGCTCAACAACCAGAGAATTCTCAGACAACTTTCATTGAACTATTTCACACTGTACATGCAGCTAAAGCTTTCATTTGCATATCCTCTGGTATAACCTGTGCCTAGGACCAGCTATATCATTTGTGGAGCCCAGAGCAAAATGAAAACGCTGAGTCCGTTGCTCAAAAATTATTTAGTGCTCTGTGAAAGACAATTAAACCTAGTACAGGGCCTTTCTAAGCATAAGGCCTTGTTCACCTGCCCAGAATTGCATGCTCATGAAGCCATACCCTAAAAACAAGTCCAGGCCTGAGTGACCAGCAGTAGTCCCCAACCCCCTAGCCATAGATCTCAGCAGTCCGTGGCCTGTTAGGAATCTGGGCCGCACAGTAGGAGGTAAGTGGCTGGCAAGCAAGCAAAGCATCTGTATTTGCAGCCACTCCCCAGCGCTAGCATCACTGCCTCAGCTCCACTTCACATCATCAGTATTAGATTCTCAGGAGCACTGGTCCCTGGTGCCAAAAAGTTGGGGACCACTGATCTACAGGTTCATTTAGTGGAGCTCCGTATTTCTGTCAGAGAGTGCTATGTGTTGTACAAGTCATTCTTATTTTAGAGGCACAATAAAATCACACATCTGGCCTTCTCTTGCAATCAGGAATTTCCATGAAAAGCGCCTGTGTAAAAGCCTCACTCCCTACCTGTCAATCAACCAGATTCAAATCATCACCTGGGAGACTGCCTGCCAAGTATTACACTGAACTGTCAAATGAAGGAAAAATAAAATTCTATTATGTAAAGCCATTGAAATTTTGGAGTTTTATTTTAACATTTGCCATACCTTAACCATCTGTCAGGACTAGGCTATGTTATAATAACAAATGCCACCAAAATCTCAGTATCATAACCCAAAATTATTTCTTGTTTATGATATGCCATCAAAAAGACTACATTCATAGCTAGTCAGGGAACTAGGCTGATAAAACTTCATCTAGAATTATGCTTCTATAATCATCAGCAGTGGAAAGACCCATGGTTATCAGACATTGACTTAAGATTTCTGTGCATATGTGATGTATCACCTCTACTTACATTTCAAAGATCATAAGTCAAATGGTCATGCCTATCTTTAAAAAGAGCAAAGAAGTACAACCCTAATATGTGCCAAGAAAGGGGAAATCCAGACATTTTTTGTAAATGACAGTAATGACTATCACATGAATACAGACATTGATTCTTGAAAGGAGGGTGCTGCTATAAAGAAACAAAAATGTTGCATAGAATAATTAGGCAGCAGCAGCAATGAAACATTAGTAGCCTGGTTAGGTAGAGAGCCCTAATGTGCCTCAATAAAATACTTACTAAAACTGTCCTCTGAGAAGTAGAAGGTAGACCATGAGTCCAGTGAGACAAAATTTCTTTACTTGCCCACATTAAATGTTGGTCAAGGATCAGTCGGGGACTCTGTTCTTTGTCATTAGAGCAGCCACTATCTAGAGCATTATTGGTTACTATGGCAGAGGAAAAAGAGCATAGTTTATTTTGCTTAGTCCAAGCAGAATTTTTTTTTTTCTTAATTTGAAAGATGTTAGAAGGTATGGTCATCATTAGGACCATTTTCAAATATTCTACAGTTCTCTTTCCTTTTGTGCACAGGTACAGTTGCACTTACTTGCCCACTTGCAGTTAGATGTGACCATATGACTTGCTTGGCCAATAAAATGTGAATGGAACTGATGTAAAGACATTTTAAGAGCCAGTAAGTGCTTTGTCATATGATTCTTTTTCCTTCCATACCAATAAGATACATTGTCAATTAAAAAAAAAATTTGGTTATTCAAGTTAAGTCATATTAGATAATTCTAAACCAAAGCTCAAGGAGTAGAAACAATTTTACCAAGAAATCTAAAATATCACAAAATTATACTTTAAGAGAACAGGTTTAGAATACAATCTCTGCCATATTTCCTGCAATACTTGCCATAAATATAATATGTTAAAAATTAACTTTGGTATTTAATTTTTAATACATAATGAAGCACCATTTAAATAGCATTTAACATCTGATTAAAAATCTTTAAATTATTTAATCATAGTGTCTGTTTTTTCTCATAATGAAACAAAAGTATTACCTGCAAGGAGCTTCACACTTTGAATTTGTTCTCTTCTAGTGTCTGTTTCTGATTCTCTTCGTTGTGGAGATTGTGGAAAATCATCCACACATTATCACATTTCTGGCCTATTCCTCTACCTCCCCAACCATGCTCAGGATTAGTTGGGGGACGGAGGTGGGCAGAAGTGCAGTTGAATTATTTTCAGCTATACGCTATAAACTAACTCTAACTCTCTTGCTTACATAGCTCCTTCCTCTTTCCCCCTGTATTTTCAGTGCACAAGATACAGTTGCATTTACATGCCCACTTACAGGTAGAATTGACTGCAGGAAGAATTGGATTCCTATTAGACCTAGAAGAAATGATTATCACTATTCACCAACTTAGGAAGAGTCAGAAAAAATAGAATTGCTTTTATTCTATTGGGACACATAAATTATATGGAAGTAAATATATTTAAATATTTACATTTGAAGGGGTTCAGAACAGGCCTCCCTAAGATGTAGTACCTTGGCATGTGGATTATTATGAGCTGAAAGCAATCAAGACCCTGTGGGCTCAGGAGAAACTTCTGCCTCTCCCTTAACTACCTAGAAAAATCTAAATCGGAAGCCTTGCCCATAATGAGTTATTACCAGAAATAACTTTTTATGACCTATCTATAGGGTAGAACAAACATCTAATTACTGAACATTTGCTCTTCTTATCATCCTGAGAATGATTTTCTTCCCTTCTGAAGCCCTAAGGCATCTTACCTCATCCTTAGCAAAGAATGCCATTATACGTACATCATTTTAACTTTCTGTCTTTGAACCTCTCATGTACATGGGGCCTCTGACACTCTTACGTATGTGGGGTTCCCATACATGCATATGTAATTAAATTTGGTTATTTTTCTTGTTAATTTGTCTCATAATGATTTAATTATGAAACCAGTTGGAAACATAGAAGGGTAGAGTAAAATTACTTCCTCCCCTACAAGTTGAACACTAAATGTCATATTTGAGTGTATATTTCATTATACTAGTAATTGAAATCTATAAGTACCATGCCATAAGGTAAGTTTCAGCTTTTGTAAGTTTGAAGAATAGGTTCTGAAATAACAGTCCTTCATGTACCACTCCCAGCACTGTACAAGAATAGTAACGATGATTATTGCTTTAATATGAAAAGTGATATTATAATAATTTCTATGGTTTTTTTCTTTAAGTTGAATAAGAGTATAAAGAGTGTATTTAATAAGTAAGGCAATATTTTATACATTGTCTTATACAGTGTCTAAAACTGCTGGTACCTTGGCAAAAAAGGCTGAGGCCCCAAACTGTTCTAGTATTCATCCATTCTTCACTCCATCCACTCCCAGGAAAAGATTCCAGTTTCACTTTAGAAAGTCCTTGATGAAGGAGTAAATATTAGTTTTATCAACTCTCAAACATTCAGAATAAGTCATTTTAGTATTCTGAATGATGAAATGAAATATGCATAAAGCACTTCTGCTCCATACTAAAGTACAATGGTTGTCCTAAAGAAAAGAACCTGTGCGATTTGAGTTGCTTCATTAGCAGCTTTTTCCTGGAACACCATTTTTACTTGAAAGCGTGACAGACAAACTATGATTATTAAGACTTGAGTATTTGGAAGATATTTTTCTCAGAAAAGTCTATCATCTCACGGAAAAAAAACTAATGGTATTTGTTGTCAATTATAAAATGCAAGCTTTAATGCAAAATTTATTTTCTAATTTTTCATGCAAAATTAGAATTTTGGAAAACTTCAAATTCTTCATTGTTAGCTTGAAACCTCTCCATATACAAAAACTTCTTATGAGACCAGTGGTATATTATTGATTGTGATTTTTTGATATTGTATAATGAAGTATATCAACATTTGGAACCTTTGCATGGCTCAGTGAACCAATATTTTCCAAATGACCAATGCATGATGTTATGAAATATTCATTGGTAGAAGATCCATTCAGAGTACAAGATAACTATTGAATTTTAATGCAGCTGAGTATGAAACATTGATTGATGTGGTCTCAGATTCCAAATTGCAAGAAATCTTGAGCAGACTTTGGATTTCCACAAGATACGAAATTTGAGAGTTATGAAACTACTTTGAAGAAACTTCCACTTGTGCAATTCTAGTTTAGTAACAAAGAAGAATATTCACAATTATATGAAAAGGCTATTGAAATTCTTTTCCATTTTTAACTACATTTCTGTGAAGCCAGATTTTCTCCATATACTTCAACCAAAATAGTGAACTGCAAGAGATAAAATGCAGATAGAGGTTCTAGCTGTGTCCTACCAAGGCAAAATTAAAGAGATTTTCAATAATGTAAAATAATGTAAAAAATTTATTTTGTGTGAATTATAATTTTTTAATAAAAATATGTTAAATCATGGGCTTATTTTTAAATAAAATAATTTTTTAAAGACTCAGTTTTAAAGTCTATTACAGTACATATTTATAGAAATAACACACAGAAACAAATTTTTTTGTCTTCAATAATTTTTAAAGTATAAAGAAGTCCCAACACCAAAGGTTTGAGAAATGCCAACATAGACATATTTAGAAAACTTGGGCTCAGAAAGGTTTTGTCCTTTTTCCTCCAGCTCACATTACCCATTTTCGTACCACCTGCTAGCCAACTGCTAAATTAATGCTCCACATAATTTTTTAAAAATAGCACCCTACTGCTGATATCCATTACTTTATTGGGTAGAGTGGTCTAAATTACCATAAAAAAAAAAAAAATAGACCCACACATGTATACCGTAAAATGGCTCAAACACAATAAAAGTTATTTCTTGCTTATTTAACAGTTGCTGGCTTTACTCTACACTGTGATTCAGGAGCCCAGGATCCTACTGCTTTATGGTTCTGCCATCTCTTATAGCTTTGTTACCTACATCAGCTTGCAAAACGGTGAAGGTACAGTCACTTCTTTAAAACCTTGCCTTGGAAGTGGCACACGTTACTTCTGCTCACATTCCATTGGTGAGAATGTTAATGGCCAAATCTGGATGGTAGCCACTTATTAGCTATGGAAGGGGAGAATGGATTTTGGTAGTTGGCTGTCTACTGCTGTGATATAGTGTAAGTTCAGAACTGGATTTTGTTATGTGGCCTTGTGTAAATTATTTATCTCTGAGATTCATCTTTATTGAAGCTAAATTGAGTACTGGGGTCTTATCTGTCATGTTTTCTGCTCTATGCTTGATTCTGGGTATATAGCAGTGAATAATATACACAAAATTCTTGCCTTCATGGGATTTAGATGTCAACTGGAGTTCTGTTTCATGACATATGGGTTAAACTTGATTCAAACACTCAAATTTCCTATCTAGTGAAAGTTCAAAGTCCACTCAAGATTTTAAAAAATTTGAAAGATGACATTCTTGTGATCTTATCTGCTTTCTAACCTCATGTTCCTAGATGAGCTGTCTTTAATTCACCACATTATCATGGATGCTAAATATAGCCATTGCTCACATTTCCACCAAGACAACTCACCTAGACCAAGCATATGTGAGTAATGAAGACTTTCCTAAGGACTTTGAGAAAGGTCATAATGTCCATTGCAGACCAAAATTTCTGTATCCATATTAGCTATTTCTGCTTTCAAAATTCTTTTTGACTATCTAGTCACCTTGGGATCTGTTTGAATTTTTTTTCCTATCCAGTGGCCAG